ATCTGAAAACTCCTTCTCATTAATCTGAAAATGCCTCTTCATTAATCTGAACATTCCTTCCCATTAACCGAGAATTTCTCATTAATCTGAAAATTCCTCTTTGTTAATCTGAAAATTCCTCCTCATTAATCTGAACATTCCTCCTCATTAATTTGAAAATTCCTCCTTGTTAATTTGAAAATTCCTCTTTGTTAATTTGAAAATTCCTTCTGGTTAATTTGAAAATTCCTCTTTTTTAATTTGAAAATTCTTCCTTCTTCTTGGAGGCCTTTGCCCCTGCACTGAGAGCTCAGCGCTCCTTTTTGCCAACGCCAGATTTTATTGGGTCTGAAAGTTCAGCTGGGAGCTAAAGATGCTTTAAATGAGGCTCCTTAATTTGGTGAGAAGCGAGCCACGTGGAATGCAGCGTTGGAAAGGAGTTTTCCTTGGCAGAATTAGTGGGTTGCTGTTGGATTGGGAGTTCCATACAGCTCCTGCTAGAAGTGGATTTCTGTTTGGAATTCAGTAATTCAAGATTTCTTCACCTTGCTCCCCACGTTCCCCTCCTGCAGCAGCAAGGATTGAACATATATTTCGTTTTTTCCAAAATACAGCGACTGGCTGGTGATTTGCCTTTAGGATGAGCCTAACTAAGGCAACCTGAAATGTTAAATGAAGATTTTGGACACAAAATATACAGTTAAGAAAACAAATGTGCTTGGCGGGGGGTGTGAGTTCAGCTCTTTGCAGGTACATAAAGCCAAAATTCATTTTCCTCTGTCCAGCTTCATCCCTCCCATGGACAAACCCATTTTTAGTGAGCAGAGCTGAACATCTGTAGATGCCATTTGCTTGCAAATCTGTTTATTTGCTCTCTCAAGTCTTATCAAATGTGCAAGCTTCTCTCTGTGGAATTTTCACTGGATTTGCCCATTCCTTCTGTTACCAAGGTGGGTTCATTTTCCCTTGGAGATCCCAGCATTAGACCTATAAAGATGCAATTAATGCCTAAACCCCAGGAGGTTACTGGGAATGGGGAAACCACCTTTTTCCTGAGGAATTTTTTCCAGTTGACTTCATGGTTAGGGAAGAAAGGCAAACTCATGCCAGTTTGCATGCATGGAAATGGTGAGACCCGAAAAAATAAAAGCCCAGCGTGTTATTTATGGCATTTCTTCTCCTCTTGTGGAAAGCTTTGATTCCCCCAGCCCGTGTTTTCTTTGCAAGTACAATACAATTAAGCCATTTTCAGCTGGCAATAAAATCCTTGAGAACCAAAGCAGATTTGGCCACTTGAAGAGATGAGGACTAATGCAATCTGATAATTAGGTCCTTTCAGTGCCAAGACAGAAAAAACAATTTAATAACGTCTCCCGTGGAGTGAGACAGGGGCTGAAGCCTCTGCTCCAAGGTCTGGGCCTGCAACACAACTCCCAGATTTCCTTCCAGGGGGAATCTGCAAGCTGAGGGACAGGGCTGGGTGTGCTGGCAGCCAAGGGGAGAACTGTGAGAGAAAAAGGGGAGAGAAATTCTCAAGTGTTCTTCCTTTCTAGACCCCTTTCTTTCCCTCAGTACCATTTCTTCTGCAGATAAAGGGTCTTACCTTGTAAATCTCTCAGCCCATGACCATTTCAGGTGGCTTTTCTAATATTTCAGGGGGAGATTTCTGAGGGAAGGCTAGGTCAGACTGGAAAACCATTCATGGAGAGAAGGAAAAGGAACCCCTTGCTCAGCGCTGAGGGTTAAGTTTTCAGCTGTCTCACCCTCTTTGTCCTGGCTTGTTACAACAGGAAAGGGATTTTTAGAAACTTTTCTTGTAACTTCAGCTTCCCTGTTTGGAAGTTTGGAAGGCAGGCAGCTCCGTTATGGTTTTCATTATCTGTGCAATAGGTTTAGAATCGATGTTTCATTCAGAGAAGAGCTCTCTGGGCAGAGCTGCCCCGACTCTGAGAAGCTGTGAAGCAGTGGTGATGGATCTGCTCCCCCCTGCCTCGTGTGAAATGCTGAATGGCTGAGTAAGCCTTACTCATCTGGGCAGATAAATCTGTAGTAGGGCTGTATTTTTTATCAGCCGCTTCTCATGAGTAAAGGCTGAGTAAGAGGCTCCAAAGCCGTGCTGCAATCTGGAAAATCTCGGAGATTTCACGCAGGGAATTGCTGCACCCACCCCCCAGCAGAGCATCTCTTAGCGGGAGTGGATCAGGAGTGGAAATAAAGGAGCTCTTTATTTCACTGACACATAGATGGGCAAATGTTGGAACTCTAGTTCCAACTCCTAGTGTTCCAACAGGCAAATACTTCAAACTGTTGCTATTTTAGCAGCTCATGGGAAGTACACAAAGAGAAACATGAGGGATACTTTTTCTCTGATACAGCTATGTGAACTGTGCCCGTGTCGTTCAAATCCTGTGGATTTCATTATCTCCCTCTCACTAAATGGATAAACTAATTGCAGTCATCCCCCTTATAGATTGCGTTTTCCAGACTCGTCGCTCATAAATTTTGGACTTCTCTTCCCCTTGCAAACGAAGAGAACCACCCAAGAACAACTCACAAGCAGCGTGATTGCCCAACTTGCCAGCTTGCCCAACGAGCAGCAGCATTGTCCCCGCTTCCCCCTCGCCACCGCGTCACTTCTGCGCCTCCTGCGCTCACAAATGTGGCGCTTGTGAACCAGCTGCCCTCGGCCCTTGTGTTTATTGCTGCAACAATGCGGCACTTCCTCACCGGGGATGCGGGAACTCGGCAAACACCGGCGGTGCCAGGCGCGGCAGCTGCTGGGATGGAGCGGCAGCAGCGCGGCGAGGCTGCTCCTGGAGCCTCCAGGACAAAGATTTCCACCGAGCGCTTAAAGACAGCTCATGGCAGACTCGGAAACTTAGCAAACAAATGAGGAGGAGGAGGAGGAGGAGAGCTTAAGCAACGAGGAGCGACTGCAGGCGCTGGCATTGCTGTGGAAAGTCAGGAATCATTTTTACAGCCTGCTCTGGACATTGTAAGAAACTCTCTGGAGGCCGACTCGCTTGGAGAAGTCCATCCTTCAGCAGCTCCAGGCTGACCTGCTGCTGATGGCCTCTGCCTTTCCCGGGAGCATCCCCCGCGCCCATTTTTGGGGTGTTCAGAGGCTGCTGCAGCAGTGCTGGGTGCAATTCAAGGTGTTTGTGGCAATTCCTAAAGCCTGGGGTGCTCTGCCCGCCTGCATTCAGCAGTCACCTTGTTTTTCCAGCTCACCACGGGCTGCCCCGTGGATTTCAGCTGTTGTCCCTCCCCGAGGGCAGGGACAGTGTCCTGCTGCGGACACCTGCCCTGGAACCCAACACCCCTGCACTGTCCAGCAGAGCCGGGGCTTGGCAAACTTCAGGCTGTGCTTACAAGGCTGTTTTTGTTCCTGCAAGGCTCCCGGCCAGGCATTTCATCCTTATTTTCTTTTTCTTAGGCCACGTCCACTGTAGGGAGGACAAGCTGTTAAAAATCATTTGGATTTCTGCATATTTCAACCCTGGCCAGCCTGGCCGAGCTGCCACAGGTGACTCAGGGAACAAAGCCGTGGATTCCGCGCACTGCAGCCAGGCTCGTCCTTCCCTTGCTTCCAGCCTTGCTCCAAAAGCTCTTAGTCCGGGGATCAAAGCTCTTGTTTTGGAAGGGATGTTTCATTTAGTTAAAGAGAAGGATTTTCCTGGTAGGAGCGGTGTTGTGCTGTGTTCGCCTGGCTTCTCGTGCCTGCTAGGCTCGGGAGTTTGGGATGGGACACCCTGCACCTTAGCATTTCCCGTCACTAAAATAAAGAGACAAAAGGAAGGAAACTTTTCTGTCTCCGTTACTTTTTCTCACTACTCGGGGCCTGAGACATCAGCCCAAACCACGGGAACGGGAGCGAGCGGGCAGCGGGACCATCCCAAACTCCCGGTGAAGCCCCGCAAGAGCCTTTATCTCTGCCGAGGGAGGGTGCGGGGATGCCGGCGGCAGGTGCCGGGTGCCCGGGAGCGCAACCGGAGCGTCCCGGAGCCGCGGAACGAAACCGCAGCGGCGCTGCCTCCCCGCAGCGCGGCCGTGCCCGTTCTGCACCGCGGCTTCCCCGGGAGTCTCCGCACCGGGAACCGCGGAGCTGGCGCCTTCTCCTGGCCCCTTCTGCACCGGGGAACCCGCCGCCTTCTCCCGGCACCTCTACACCGGACATCGGGGGTCCCGGGGACCCGGCGTCTTCTCCTGGAGGCCCTCCGCACCGGGATCCGGGGAGCCGGCGCCTTCTCCGGACCCGCTGCACCGAGTCTGAGAGAGCCCGGGGACCCTCCGCAGCGGGGCCCGGTGCCTTCTCCCGGCACCCTCTGCACCGGGTACCGGGGATCCTCTGCACCGCGCACCCGGGGACCTGGTGCCTACTCCCGGACCCTCCGCAGAGAGACCCGGGAATCCTCCACACCGGGAATCCCGGGACCCTCCGCACCGGGAACACGGGGACCCCGGGACCCTCTGCACCGGGAACACGGGGATCCCGGGACCCGGAACCTTCTCCTGGGACCCTCTGCACCGGGAACACGGGGATCTCGGGACCCGGAACCTTCTCCTGGGACCCTCTGCACCGGGAACACTGGGACCCCGGGACCCTCCGCACCGGGAACCTGGGGACGCCGGGACCTGGTGCCTTCTCCCAGGGACTCTCTGCACCGGGAACCCGGGGACCACGGGACCCTCCGCACACGAGGATCCCAGGACCCGGCGCCTTCTCCCGGGACCCTCCGCACAGGGAACCCGAAGAGCGTCCGCAGCGGGCACCGGGGGACCCATTGCCTTCTCCGGGGCCCCTCCTGTCAGCGGGAGCCGCGGCTCCGTGCGCGGTTCCGGAGCATCCCCGCTCCGCTCCCGGAGCATCCCCGCTCCGCTCCGCTCCCGGCGCGTCCCCGCTCCGCTCCCGGTCCCCGCGAGGCCCCGCCCCCCGGGCCCGCCCCGCGCTGTGATTGGCCGCGGGCGCGCGGGGGGCGTGGCCGGCGGGGCCGTATTAAAGGTGCCATGGCCGCCCGCAAAAAGGGGCCGCGGGCGGGCGGGAGCGCAGTGCGAGCCCCGCGGGCACCGGGCACGGCCTCGCCACGGATCCTACCCCTTCTCCGCACCGGCACCTCCCTCGCGGCCGCCGCAGGTAAGGCTCGCCTCCTTCCCCCCGTCCCTCCCCGCCTCCCCGAGCAGCCGAGGCGATGCGCGGCTTGCGCGCTGTCGCGATCCCCCCGCGGTAGAAGCGTCCGCTGCCTGCGGCTTGGAGAAGAGGGGAACTCCTGCGTTTCTCACGGAGCTATTCTCAGCGCCTAAAATAATTCGATAGGTATGGCTGGAGCGCCCGAGCATCTGCTTCCAGCATCTGTTTGTGCTCATAACTTTCCATGCACCAGCTGCTCCCCCCTTTCCCCCCCCCGGGATATTTTATCCTGGGGAAGGGCTGCAAGTTCGCATGACAACTCCGCGTTGCACAAAGCGCACCGCTCCATCCCTTCGCCTTCTTCTCGCCTGTTGTTTCCCGCACGGAGAGAGGGTAGAAGCGGCGACTCCGGGCACTCGGATGCGTGGGTTTGAGCGGCCGGGATGGTTTGGAGGGCTGTGAAATGAACCTGTAGCTTCATTCATCGGTATGGTGCAGACGGGAGGGCTTCTTTCGTTTTCATCGTGCTGCCAAAAAATGAGAAGCAGGGAAAAAAAAAAAAAAACCAAACCAAAAAAGCATCTGGGAAGGCAGCGAAGAGCTGTATTGTTTCAGCTTAGCTCATGACAGTGAAAGGAAAAAATACTGATAAGCAAAGGCAGATGGATTTGGGGGGTGAGTGACGGGGCGGGGGCCGCTGGGGACCCGCAGGTGCCGCTTGAGCCGGGGCCGCTCTGTCCCCGCAGCTCTGTCCCCACCCCGCAGGCTGCCCGCACTTGTCTCCGTGGCTCAGCCTCACCTTTCCACTTGTTTGCTTTTCCATCCTCGCAGCCGGTGCGCCGCGTACACCCCCTGGTGATGGCTGCTCCGCTCCCAGTTGTTTTGTCACCAGCTACAAACGCCCCGAGCCCGTCTCCCTGGCAGGACGGCAGATGCGAGCGCCACTTGTCCTTCCCTTTCTCCTATTTCTCCGCACCCATTTCCCTGCATCATGTGCTCTTTTTTAATTTTTTCTCCCCCGCGCTGCCCGTCCCTGAAGGTCAGCCCTTTCCCCCGAAGGCAGCTCCGCGTAACTTGAGTCGCGCCCGGAGCAGCGGAGGAGCCCTGGGGAATGACTTTTAAGGAGAAAGGTTACAGAGGTGGCCGTGCCCGGCAGCGAGGGGGCAGGAACGTGGGCACAGGCTCGGCCGCGGCGAGAAGCTGCTTTGTTCTGCTTTCCGAGGGCAGCAGGGCTCGGCTCGGCCGAGGTGGTGCTGCTGCTCTCTTGGCAACATGTGCCCGGCTGGCTCCGCAGGGCTCGGCGGCGTCAGCCGGGGAATGACCGCTCCAAGCGCTGCCTGCTGCTCCTCTCTGCTCCTCTCTGCTCCTCTCTGCTCCTCTCTGCTCCCCTCTCCCCCTCCCCTGCGCTCCGGAGCCATCCCTCGCTCTTTAACCTTTGCCCAAACTCCCCTCCTGCTGTGCCTTGCGACGTGAGCGTCCTTCCCCAGGGAAGGTCTGCAGGGGAAGGTGAAGGTTTGGGCTCCCCATCGTGGCATTTCCCCAAATGCTGGCTCAGAAATGCTGCAGATGCAGCACAGCCCCGTTTTCCTCCCTCCTCCAAGCATCCCCTCTCAGCAGAGTCAGCCAGGCTCTCCTATCCCATCTCACCTCTTCCCAGTAATCCCGTGTCCCTGCCGCTGCTGGTAATTCTGAGCTGTGTTATCTTCCCTTCCAGGAGGAAAGGTCACCTGGACTAATAATAATAATAATGATAATGATGATAACACACCTGGTGATGATTGAATTTACAGCTCTGTGTCTGGCTGCACTGCACTGGGGCCACTTTGGCGAATACTGGAAATCCAGGGCTGGGTTGGTGGTGCTGGGTTGGCTCCCTCTGCCCAGTGAGGATTGCAGGGCTGCTCCCACACCAGCCTGGAATTGTTGGTGCCACCAGCAGCTGATGCTGGGCTGGAATGAGGAGCAGCAGTGTTGTCCAGCCTTGAGCAGCAGGTGGATTGCCACAAGAAGAAGCAGCATTCGGTTTTCCTTTTGGTTTTCCTGCTCCTTTGTTCCAGGGCTTTTTGGGGAACTTTTGGTGGAAGTGGTGGTGAGGGTCAGGGTGAGCACGGAGCAGGTGCTGGGGCAGCCAGGATCCATGGGGCGTTTCACAGGACCTGTATTTCCATGAGCAGGAGCGGGATCAGCTCCTCTGGCTGATCCCTGTGCAGGGTGCTGCTCCTGCTCCCATCCCCTCCTCCTCCCTGCCCCAGCACTGGCAGGAAGAGAGGCAGTTGGTGCTGGAAAAGCAGGCAGACAGCTCTGCTGCCCTGGACTGAGCCAGAGCTTTGTGCTGGGAGCTTCCAGCGGGCTCCAGAGCTGCTCCCAGGCTCACCCCCAGCTTTTGGGGTCCTTGGAACAAAAGGGGTGCAGCCGCACAGCCAGCGAGGAGGGATCCGGGCAAGGGACAGGAGGGGAGAGGTGCTCAGTCCTGCAGGGGAGGAATGCGACAAATTCGGGTCCCAAACTTCTAAATGCAGCCACGGGATGCTGGCGTTAAGATTTCAGGGATTTGTGGGATTCAAACAAGTGTCCTCAGGTCGAGATTTTGTGGGAGAAGCTGCGTATTCAGACACTTAAAATGTTACAGCTTATCTTTCCCTCCACCAAAAGTTTTCGTCTAAAATCCAGGAAAGAGACGGAAAAAAACCAAACTCCAGAAGAAACTGTTTCCTAGGCTGTGTGTTTCCATCAGCTTGGAACAAAACGGGCTTTGACTGTGGCAGTCGAACATGACTGTGATTATAGGATGTGGTTTATGAAAGTGATCGATTTGCAGAGCAGTGCAATGGCTTTTCAAGAAGTTTTTTTTATGTGGGATGTATTAACAGTAATTTCACTTCCCTGCTGTGTTCAGGTTTCTAATAAAAGTAGGGGGTTGGCCAAAACAAATAATTTAAGTGAGCGTTAAAAGAATTCTTTTGTATTTTTGAGCACGCTATCCTGGCAGGAATGAGAAACCCTGGGAACAAAAAGGTGTAAGGGAGGAAAAAGTGGATCCTTACACAAGGGAAGCAAGACAGTTGTAAAAGTACGAATAAGTGCCCAAAGCAGGAAGGCAGCTCACCCAGAAGTGTTCGGTGCTGAGAGCTGCACTCAAAGGGGCATTACAGAACCCGCCAGAGCTGCCAAAATGTCTTGTCTGAGCTGAAGTCACAGATGAGTAATCTTGGCAAGGAGGCATCGAGACACATTCTTGCACAACAAACAGGAGCAGGGGAAAAGAGAAGGTGAAATAAACCCTGAGGAGATCCTGGAGGGAAGAGCAGCCTGCACACACAGCTGATGATGCTGCTGCTTGTCACCTGCTCTTTTCCTAACAAGTGTTTGCTGAGCTCAAGCCTTTGTAATGTGGCTGAAGGATGGGCTTGAGGAGTTGCTTGAAATCGCTCAAGTTTTTGGAGCACCTCAGCAAGGCTTTAGGAGCTGCCGTTGTTGGGAAAGGAGATAACATCTTATCTCCAGCTGTTGTGAGATTCCAGTCAGAGCAGAGCAGAGGTCCTGCCGGGCAGGGGTTGTGCTCCACAGTGGCTGCAGTTTTGTTGGCTTTTGGACCAACTCAGATGAGTTTTGATAACATTAATTTAGGAAGAGTGCAGTGATTTAACCTCCTGCTACTGTAAATTATTTTGGAGCCTCCCGTGCTGTGCCAAAGGGGCAGCAGACATTCCTCTCCACCTGGGTTTAGCTTTATTCCCTCCGTGGGCCATGTGTGGCTGGAGCAGTTGCTTTAATGCATCTCTTCTCCTCTGCAGTATTTCAATTCCATTTCCTGATATGCAGTACATGACTTAATGGATGACGCACTTGTTAAAAGCTAGACCTGGGTCTAAGCCAGACCTCCCTGAAACAAGTTTTTGGTGGCTTCTCCCCGGAGGAAGGAGATTTTGGATCCTTTCTGCTGAGTCTTGATTGGTGACATTTCAGACTCGCAGGACCCTCAGGACTGTGACCCGCTGGAGATGGAAGGGGCTGCCTCAGGCTCCCAGGGGGAAGGTGCTGGAACTCGCTCCTAAAGGTGTTAGGAAGGCACTCAGCTGATTCTGCTACGTTTTACTGGTGGCTTTAGCAGGAGCAGATGAGAGGTTTGAAAGGTTTAATTGTTTTGTACAACTTAGGCCAAGCTTGAGCATGAAAACTACAGAGATCTCGATGAGTTTATGGAGTTAGAGAGAAGCTACTGCAGCCCTTGTTCTTGAAATTTGCTGAGAATGCACAACTCCTTTTAGCTTGATTAAAACAATTGTATGTGCTTTAATTTCATGGAATCACCACTGTCTGCACTTCCCAAATTTATTCCCTGTCTCCACTTTCCCTTTTGCTTGCTCCCTGCTTTGTCATGGGTCAGACAGTCCACGAGACACATCATACGTTGCTACAAACCACTTCAGCATTTGTGTTTGAACAGAAGGATGTTAAAGGGAGTTGTTTGCTTCAAAATAAGCAGAAATCACAGTTATAAATAGCAGAGAGATCCTTTGCGTGTCCAGCTTTAATGGGAATGCTGCTCAGACTGGTGTGACACGACCCCTTCAGTGCTTTCCTTCGGGAAGGACAATTCCTTCCTTGCAGTAACCACGTGTGACCCCTGTCCATGCACAGCTGTGAATGCTGAACATTGCTGAAAATGTCATTAAGAAAGAGGAAACTTCCTGCAGGCCCACAGGTGTCATTTTCCTTGATCCCTCATGCTTTTCCTCCAGGATCTAAAGCGCCATTTCTCTTTCTCTTGCAGACCATGCCCTCTCTATGACGGTGGCTTGCTGAGCTCACCCTGCATGCCAGAAGAGTGTCCTTGGTTGATCCGAGGGCTTCTGGGGACTCCGGCCTCCGCCTGGCTTTTCCACGTGTGTGTGTTCCTGTAGAACTTTCAAAACTGTTTCTCCAAAGGGTTTTGCAGAAACTCAGACTGTTTTCTAAAGCAGAAGCACCTCAGTCCCCGGCAGTAGTGATGGGCAGCGTGCGAACCAACCGCTACAGCATCGTGTCTTCGGAGGAGGACGGCATGAAGCTGTCCACCATGGCCGTGGCCAACGGCTTCGGCAACGGCAAGGGCAAGGTCCACACCCGGCAGCAGTGCCGGAGCCGCTTCGTCAAGAAGGACGGGCACTGCAACGTCCAGTTCATCAACGTGGGTGAGAAGGGGCAGCGCTACCTGGCCGATATCTTCACTACGTGCGTGGACATCCGCTGGAGGTGGATGCTGGTGATCTTCTGCCTGACTTTCATCCTCTCCTGGCTTTTTTTTGGCTGTGTGTTTTGGTTGATTGCGCTGTTGCACGGGGATCTGGAGAACCAAGAGAACAGCAAGCCTTGCGTGTCTCAGGTGAGCAGCTTCACCGCAGCCTTCCTGTTCTCCATCGAGACCCAGACCACGATCGGCTACGGCTTCAGGTGCGTCACTGACGAGTGTCCCATCGCCGTGTTCATGGTGGTTTTCCAGTCCATCGTGGGCTGCATCATCGATGCCTTCATCATTGGTGCCGTCATGGCAAAGATGGCTAAGCCAAAAAAGAGGAACGAAACTCTGGTCTTCAGCCACAATGCCGTGGTGGCCATGAGGGACGGGAAGCTGTGCCTGATGTGGCGTGTGGGGAACCTGAGGAAAAGCCACTTGGTGGAGGCGCACGTGCGGGCGCAGCTCCTGAAATCCAGGATCACGTCGGAAGGGGAGTACATCCCCCTGGATCAAATCGACATCAACGTGGGCTTTGACAGCGGCATCGACCGCATCTTCCTGGTCTCCCCCATTACAATAGTGCACGAGATAGACGAGGACAGTCCCCTGTACGACCTGAGCAAACAGGACATGGACAATGCTGACTTTGAGATCGTGGTCATCTTGGAGGGCATGGTGGAGGCCACCGCCATGACCACCCAGTGCCGTAGCTCATATCTGGCCAACGAGATCCTCTGGGGCCACCGCTACGAGCCCGTGCTCTTCGAAGAGAAGAACTACTACAAAGTGGACTACTCGAGGTTCCACAAAACCTACGAAGTGCCCAACACACCCATCTGCAGTGCCAGGGACTTAGCGGAGAAGAAATACATCCTCTCCAACGCCAACTCCTTCTGCTACGAGAACGAGGTGGCCCTCAGCAGCAAGGAGGAGGACGAGATCGACACGGGGGTGCCGGAGAGCATGAGCACGGACACCCATCCCGACATGGAGCACCACAACCAGGCGGGGGTGCCCCTGGAGCCGCGGCCGCTGCGGCGGGAGTCGGAGATATGACTGGCGGGCTCTGCCTCTCCCGCCTGGCTGGAAGGCAAAACCCCCAGCGTGCCCATCGGGCAAGGGCTCGTTGACCTGAGAAGTTGGCCCAGAAGAGTTTGCAGACAACGGTACTGTGGAAGCGTGGTGTGAAGGCAGCAGACCCGAGGAACCCAGGCTGGTTTTAGGGCTGTCCTCAGAGGAGGGACGACAGGAAATGAACTCTAAACACAAAGCACTAAACATGTCTAAGTATGAACAGAAGGCACATATGTTGTAGAATAAATTATGTATATATTTTTTTACAAAACTTGAACTTGCAGGCAAGCTTTGGTTGGGTTATTATTATTTTTTGTTTTCAACTTTTTCCAGAATGCTTCTCTCTAGGGAACAAGAATGTTTTTAATGGCATAACAAAGGCAAGAATCTGCCTTATTATTATTATTATAATTATTTTTTAAAAAGCTGCTGCTAACTACATGAACACAAATGGTTATTTTTGTTGCAGTGTAGTTTTTATTTTCTCTTGTGTAATTTAAAAAGAAAAAAAAAAATCAGTGTTGAACTTTTTGGGTTGAAAAGCTCATGATCAGTTCAGAGAGGCCAATGTTGCCAGAAAGTTTAAACTCCTTTTGAGGCCAGTAGTTTATATCTAGAATCAATTTCTCTCTTTCCAATTACATAAGGGGCATTATGTAATATCAGGCCAATCAGTAGCCTCCAGCAAAATTATGATTTTTTTGGGGGGAGAATTTAATTCTCTGTCTAAAGGAAAACTGAGACAAAAGATATATACATAGGAAAAAGTACTAAGTTCAAACTACCTAAGTGGATACCAAAGAAAATGCACAGTTTTGCACAGTGGAGTTTATT